TGGAGGTTGCTGTGAGCTGTAATGCCACGGCACTCTGCCCAGGGGGACAGCTTGAGGCTCTGTCTCAAAAAAAAAAAAAAAAAAAAAAGAAAACTTATCTATATAATCTTCTCTTATTCAGTAACTCCAGTTTTGTAAGGTAGACTGTTCAGCCTAGCTCTTCCTTAATTCTCACAGGAAAAACAAAAGGTCCTTTAAAATGCCTTTTGCAGAACATTAAGCATGAGCAATTGTCTTTTTTTTAAATTTTTTTTGTCCCTTTATTTTTTGACATGCTTTATTCACACTGAAATATTCCGACTTTTTTCACTATTCTTTTAATGATACTAATGGTTACTCGCCTCTGAGAAATGAAAATGAAGAGATACTCAGAGTATGTTTACTTTCTATTTTATGTTCTTTGGTAGTTTTTTTTTTTTAATTACTTTTAACTATCAGAAAAAACAAGACAGTAGTTAAAGGGACATGATATCATGCAGAAATCAGGCATTACTGAGAATAAAAGAATGGATCTGTTGACTCTGATATGTAGCAAGGGTTAAGAAGCACTGCAATAGGCAGACTAAAAACAAAAACTAGCATTGTTTTCGCCTAAAACTACAATGAATCACAAAAACAAATAAAAAATAAAATTTTTAAAGAAAATCTATCAGGTTCAGTGCCTATAGCTCAGTGGCTACTGCGCCAGTCTCATATACTCAAGCTGGCGGGCTGGAACCCAGCCCAGGCCTCCCAAACAACAATGACAATTACAACCAAAAAATAGCCGGGTGTTGTGGTGGGCGCCTGTAATCCCAGCTACTTGGGAAGCTAAGGCAAGAGAATCGCTTAAGCCCAAGAGTTGGAGGTTGCTGTGAGCTATGACACAGAGCACTCTAGAGTCAGAGCCAGAGCACTCTACCAAAGGCAACACAGTGAGACTCTTGTCTCAAAAGAAAAGAAAATCTAAGATCAGTGATCCTTTCCAATGAGAAAAGTTTTATATTTTATAGATCACATCTTTGTGCAGAATTATAAACATGAAAATTAAGATATGGGAAAAATTCTAAAAATAACAGACTTACATGGATTTAGGATTTTAAAGTCATCAGATTGCCTCTGGTGTTAAACTATCTTAATTGTGGTACATACATAAATATTAAAATACCGTGTTGCCCC